GCTCCTGGCGGCTTGCTTGTTTTATTAAAAAGTTACAGAAATTTTCAAATATCTTCTTTCAGATAATAGTTGGTGGAGTGGCAAGTACATCACAAGATATGCATACTTATGCTGCCTGCACATTTTTGGCTGCAAGTATGAAAGAAGGGAAGCAAGGAATTCAGAGAAATCAAGAGTCTGTTCAGCTTGGAGCAATTGAGGCCTGCGTGATGTGGCTGCTAGAAAATGAATTCATCCAGAGTACAGAAGCCAGTGATGGAACAGAAGGTAAGTGTGACTTCTCAGTTGCAGTTTACTCACTTTTTCATCTTCAGTGAGGGTGTGTGACCGCTCAGTAAATGGAAATTGTCTTTTCATGTAGTATAAAAGGAACTTGATATTTTGAGCAGCGTATCAACTCATTTTTAGTAAATCAGTATTGTATTTAGCAACTTCAGACCATTATTATAGAGCCTGCTCATACATTTTCATGTGCTGGGTAAGGTACTATTTGTAAAATTTATCAGCCGGGAGGGTTAGCTTTGGAATACAGAAAGATAGTATTTTGTTTTATTTTGAGTGTTTGTTCCTCTGTTTCCTCACCCTAACCCCAAACCAGGAAAGGTGTATTATCCAACACATCTTGGTTCGGCTACTCTTTCTTCTTCACTTTCTCCAGCTGATACTTTAGATATTTTTGCTGACCTGCAAAGAGCAATGAAGGGCTTTGTTTTAGAGAATGATCTTCATATTCTCTATCTGGTAAGTTCTGTTTTAACGATTATATTTGTGAAAATAGGGAGAAAAAATAGATATATAATTCTGAACATCAATGATACCCTGACAGAACATCTTGTCTGTTTTCCATGCATAGGTTAGTACTGGTGAGCATAGAGAAAAGGTAAGAAGAGAATTGTTTTAAAGTAATAATCTAAATGTTCTAGTTACTTTTAAATTTATTTTCTCCAGCCTTCTTTCAAAAAATATTTGAGTTGGTTTATAAAAAATATATATTTTACAATGTATAAAAGAATAGCAAAGGAAAATGTAATATCAGAAAATTAAAGATAAGATCATGATGTAAAACTCAAGCAAAGGTCAGTACACAAATATGCATGCCATTAAGTCATGTCCAATGCTGTTGTCAACTTTGATTCTGGGTTTTCTAGCAACTAAAAGAAAGAGGGAAGCTTGATTAGTGTTAATATTCATAAGATAAAAGACAAACCAAGTTTAGGAAAAACATTGCATTTCCCTGCCTAAGAGAAATTTAGTTCTAAAAGGATACTTTGGAACTTAACATTGTTGATAAAAATCTCTATAATAAATGCCATAAGAAATTTTAAAAGTTTGTTTACATTAGACAGTGCTCTGTGAATATTGTTTTGTATAACAAAGATATTAATAAGAATTGGATAGTGTTGGAGGTCATATTCTCTGGCAAGAACCTGATCAGAAAGAATTAATTTTGTCAGTTAAGAGCAGATGCATTTTGATAAGCAAGTGATAGGGGGAGGTGAGTAAAATTGAAAGTCTCATTAGAATGAAGGGGGCTGATCAGGAAATGTGTTTCAATAAAAAACACTATGTAGTGAGCAGAGCGGAAATATCTACACAGTGCCAATTTTCTTTTCTTACACACTCGCATAATGCATGATAGGTTCAAAGGTCTGTGCCCAAGAATGTGACTGGGAGGAATCTCAAAGCAGGTTTCACAGGTCATCTATCATGGCCTTAAAAATAAGTCTCATTTATTATACAGTGGCTAAGATTGTGGGCTTTAGGGTCAGACTGCCTTAGTTCAACTTTTGGCCTCATCACTTAGTAATCGTACAACCTTGGGTAAGTACTTAACCTCTCTTAAGATTTCATTTCCTCATTTGTAAAATGGA